CACACACTGCTGGACATGACGAGGATACTGTTCTATCATTCTATAATAGCCCCTACACACACTGCTGGACATGACGAGGATACTGTTCTATCATTCTATAATAGCCCCTACACACACTGCTGGACATGACGAGGATACTGTTCTATCATTCTATAATAGCCCCTACACACACTGCTGGACATGACGAGGATACTGTTCTATCATTCTATAATAGCCCCTACACACACTGCTGGACATGACGAGGATACTGTTCTATCATTCTATAATAGCCCCTACACACACTGCTGGACATGACGAGGATACTGTTCTATCATTCTATAATAGCCCCTACACACACTGCTGGACATGACGAGGATACTGTTCTATCATTCTATAATAGCCCCTACACACACTGCTGGACATGACGAGGATACTGTTCTATCATTCTATAATAGCCCCTACACACACTGCTGGACATGACGAGGATACTGTTCTATCATTCTATAATAGCCCCTACACACACTGCTGGACATGACGAGGATACTGTTCTATCATTCTATAATAGCCCCTACACACACTGCTGGACATGACGAGGATACTGTTCTATCATTCTATAATAGCCCCTACACACACTGCTGGACATGACGAGGATACTGTTCTATCATTCTATAATAGCCCCTACACACACTGCTGGACATGACGAGGATACTGTTCTATCATTCTATAATAGCCCCTACACACACTGCTGGACATGACGAGGATACTGTTCTATCATTCTATAATAGCCCCTACACACACTGCTGGACATGACGAGGATACTGTTCTATCATTCTATAATAGCCCCTTCACACACTGCTGGACATGACGAGGATACTGTTCTATCATTCTATAATAGCCCCTACACACACTGCTGGACACGACATAAATTGCTATAGAACTTACAGTGACCACCGCCCAATCCTCCATAATGATTGGTGACCGCGATCAGGTCGTAGGTCATGGTCCCATCATCTTTGTTGATTATGTATTTTTTCAGATTTAACCCGCTGTAACAAAAGATGTTAAAACATACTGACTTAATTACAACTAAGATACAGGACACAAAATCCTGAACTGAATTATTATGAAATATACATCTAGTTGTTTGTCATTCAATAATTTCTAGAATAACTTCCAGAGGGGATTCAGTACAAACAATTTAGAGACAGAGCAAGCCATTAGGATTGATATGTCTCTCTTTTCCTTTGACCATCAATACACATATCAGAGAAACTAACTTAAACATAATAAGAGGCCCATGGGCCTAAACGGTCACCTGAGTCCTACAGTACTTATTTTTGTTGTTGAAATATGTTCCAATTTGAGTAAAACATAGTGAAGTATAACGTTAACTTAAGTTTGTCAGGACCATGAGCTGATCATTCCTAGACCGAGTTTCAGTTCTATCGGCCCAGTAGAACTTTACTTTAAGTTTGAAATAGTTTTTCAAAATGGCGTCCGTGTCGGCCATATTGGATTTCTGATTGACCCGAAAAATAACAACACTTTGTCAGGACCATGAGTCGATCATTCCTACAAAGTTTCAGTTCAATCGGCCCAGTAGAACTTGACTTTAAGTTTGAAAAAGTTTTTTAAAATAGCGGCCGTGTCGGCCATATTGGATTTCTGATCGACCCGAAAAATAACAACACTTTGTCAGGACCATGAGTCGATCATTCCTACAAAGTTTCAGTTCAATTGGCCCAG